CAGGAGCATCCCTATGGAAGCTGCCTGGGTGATTTCGGACCAGCCACAGACTTTCTGCCTAACCTGCATTGCTGTACAGATTGCAAAGCAGAAGAGAATGAAGTAAGCTGCTTTGCTCCCCACTAATAAGAAACACAGAATTTCGCCTAGAAAGAGGCTGCTGAGAGGGGAAGAGATAAAGTTACCAGCTTTAAGTATGGAAATTCCTGGAGATTTGAGGGGTGGAGCCCGGAGAGGGGACCTCAGACAGTGCCATAGACTCCACCCCCCAAAACAGCCATTTCCTGCTGGGGAACTATTGTTGCCAATCTTGGCCCAGCAGCCATCAAACCATTCTCTTCAACCCCCTGCTGTGCAGCTGACTTTCCCCTACGGTTGCCAATCTCCAGGTGGGACCTGGAGATTTCCCGCTGTTACAATTGATCTCCAGATGACAGAGATCAGTTCCCCTGGAGAAAATGGCTGCTTTGGAGGGTAGACCCTATGACATTATACCTGCTGAGTCCTTCCGCCGCCCCCCTCGCCCAATGCTGCCCTCCACAGGACCCACCTTCCAAATCTCCAGGTATTTCCCTCCTTACAGCTGGCAACCCTACTTTCCCCTCAGTGCCTGTTGGTAGGCAACTAAGCTTGGTCCTGTCACCTATTTTGGCCTTTGGGAGAAAACACATTGGGGGCAGTCCTGATAGGGTTGCCAACTCCAGATGGGAAATTCCTGGAGATTTGAGGGATGGAGGCGGAAGAGGGTGAGGTTTGAGGAAGGGTGGGACCTCAAGACAGGTACAGTGCCATAGACTCCACCCTCCAAACCAGTCCGTCCCTCATGGGGAACCATTGTTGCCAATCTCCAGGTGAGGGCTGGAGACCACTCAAAATTACAACTACTCTTCAGGTAGCAGAGATCAGTTCCTTTGGAGAAAACAGTGGACTCTGTCATTATACCCTGCTGAGGTCGATACAGCAAATTGACACTGTCTTTCTTCACTTTTTTCTCCCCCCCTCCCCTATTTGGTGGGTGGGGTGGAGAGTGTATGGGCAAAACAAAGTTTTTTAAAGTTTTTTTAACCCTAACCCTATTTGGTGGGTGGGGTGGAGAGTGTATGGGCAAAACTAAGTTTTTTTAAGTGTTTCATCGTTGCCCAGCTAAAATTCCTTCGAACGACGGTCACGATTTTTGCCTTCTTTGTCTGGGGGAGTCCCATAGAGTCGATAGCTACGTCCATTGTGCTAGTTTTACTAAGCAAGCTAGATGTAATAGAGAGGCTTGGCTTAGGGCTGTGCTTTTAGAGGCAGCTCTGCGCCCTACCATAGCTTCGGCCGTTTCTCAAATATCAGATGGGGCTCCGAAGGCACCAAAGCTAAAACCTAAACCGCCTGAGGATAAGGCTCTGTCGAAATCGAAGGTCAAGCCCTCGACATCGGCTTTGACTTTGGCTGTTGACCCGGTCGTCATTACCAGCTGAATGAAATCCTGCTGTGGCTGTTTTACCTAATAAGTCCACTTTGCGGCCTCCGACACCACTGCCTACGCTCTCTTCAGCATCTGGCCTTATTCAACTGGGTCAGTCTACGAGATCGCCTCCCGACGTGTCGTACCACTCTCAATCTCCGTCTCCACACTCCTGTACCACGATTTGGAGGGCAGGGAGCATTCTGTCGGCCGCCGTTCTCAATATGATAGAAATTGTCTCATTCATCGTCGCCTTCCAAGGACCAATACTGGTCTCCTGATGAACGAGATCGGCCTGACTATTATCCTTATTACTATCCGAGGTCTCCTACGCCTCAGCGGCACCACTATGATCGGCTTCATCACTTTGAACGTACTGAGCATTGATGCGTTTCGGATCACAACAAATGTCCTAGGTCCGTGACTTCGACCCACTCCGGGGCTCCTCACCACCCTCCTGAGCTCTCGAGACCTAGGGATGCCTCAAAGAGTTCTCCCTTAGAACCTGGGCTTCATCCCCCTTTTGATGACCCTATGCTGGCTCAACCGTTGAGATCATCCTCTCCCATGTCGATCTCTGACAACTCGGATTCGGGAGACCTAGAACTTGATGTTCCACACATCGACGATGAGCCTCAGGGCTCGGGTTCTATTTCCCCCACTGAGGGCCGAAAGCGTATTTGGAATTCGTAACCAGGATGGCCTCTGCACTTCAGGTCCAGGGTTCCACTGAATCCCTGGCTGTGACCGATGTTGTTCACAAGCTTGTTCAAGCTGATCTCCCACCTTCTACGGCCCTGCCTCTGCTGCCAGTCCACCTTTCTGCCCTTAAAGAGTCCTGGGTCCATCCCGCTTCAATTCCCCCAGTCTCCAGACGATACGAAACTCTTTATAAGGTCCAAGAGAACTCGGGGAAGTTTCTCTTTAGGCATCCTCCACCGAATTCCATGGTGGTACACTCTTCCTTGAAAATGAAGCAATCTGCCCCCCACTCTGCGCCTCCCGACTGCGAAGGTCGCAAGGTCAATGTTATCGCGAAGATGTATTCCTTCACCTCTATGAATCTTCATATTGAGACCTACCTGTCATATCTGTCGGCTTATGCTTTCAATGTGGCTAATGCAGTACGTCCCGTCTTGGAGTTTGTTCCAGAGGAACACCGTCCCACATTGTCGGGGGCTCTATCGGAAATTTGTATGATCTCGAAACAGCAAATTAATTCAGTCCACCATTAATTCAGTCCACCACTTGCTCCCCAAAGGACCTTGTCTCCTCCGTCGCCACGCTTGGCTAAGAGGTACCTCTTTACAGCCTGATGTGAAATTTCGGATTGAGGACCTCCCATTCGATGGCGAAGGTCTCTTCCACTCTACCACTGACGAGTCCTTGAAGGCCGTGGACAATAATAGGAAGCAGGCTTGGAACCTGGGTGTCTCGACCTCAACGCCTCGACATCGGTACCGTTCCTGAAAGCCATATTATGCTAGGCGCCAGCCGTCTCCCACCCCCACCTCCCAATAGAGAAAAAGGCCCAAAGACTCCTATTACCCAAATAGGGTGCGCAAACAGGCCCCTAAAAAACCCCAGCAGCCCAAGCAGTCCATTTGACCGCTTCTATCGCCTGCCATCTCCTCCGTCATACACCCTTCCCGTCCGGACCCGACTCCTTTTCTGCCAACGTGGGAAGAAATTTTCACCGATTCCTGGGTCCTCACCATCCTATGGGTCGGGTACGCCATAGAGTTCGTTTCGCCTCCTGACCTACCTCATTTTGTCATCAACCCCCCCCCCCAGATCCTCTCCTTCATTTTGAAATTTCCGCACTTCTGGCCAAGGGTGTCATTGAAGTCATCCTGGAGGCGCAACGAACCCTAGGCTTCTACTCCAAGTCTTTCCTTGTAACGAAGAGTGCTGGCGGCTTCAGGGCCATTATGGATCTTCGGGATCTGAATCAATACATTCGATGGCACAAGTTCCGAATGGTCACCCTAAAATCTACCACTGAATCACAAGGCTGCATGGCTCACCTCTGTCGATCTCCCGGACGCATATTTTCATGTTACTATCCATCCCCAGCATCGAATGTTCCTGCGTTTCGCTGTTGGCAACGCAACACTACCAGTACTGAGTTCTTCCGTTCGGACTCTGCACTGCCCCGAGGGTCTTTACCAAGCTGATGGCTGTGGTGGCTGCAGACCTACATCGTTGTGGGATTGCCCTGTATCCCTATATTGATGACTGGCTTCTCATCGCCACCACCCAAGACCAGCTCCTCCTAGATGTCCAAACGACCCTGTCTCTCCTTCGTGCCCTCGGGTTTGTGTAAACCTACCCAAATCGTCTCTCTGACCTGTCCAGGACCTTCAATTTCTGGGTGCCCGTCTCGATACCAACCTCGAGACAGCGTTTCTCCCGAACTCAAGGGCCTCTGACATACTCGCCTTGGTCTCGCAGTTCCAGACCTCTCCCCAGCAGTCCACTCGGTCCATCATGAGGCTACTGGGGCACATTGCATCTACTGTCTTTGTCGTCCGTCATGCCAGGTTGAGGATGCGTCCCCTCCAACTGTGGCTTTTCCATGCCTTTGACCCTCTCCACAGTCCATGGCACACAATCCTGTCGATCCCACCCCTTGTCGACTCTCTCGCCTGGTGGTCTCATCCTCAGCACCTGCTCTCCGGCATGCCCTTTCGGCATCCTTCTCCGCAAGTGTCGGTCTCCACTGATGCATCCCTCTGGGGCTGGGGAGCCCAGTATGGAATCCTTTCAGCACAGGGGACCTGGTCTCCTCGCGAAGCCACCCTTCATATCAGTATCCTGGAGCTGTGTGCTGTTCATCTCGCTCTCCGCTCGTTTCTCCCTGCCCTTCGAGACAGAGTCATTCGGGTTGCCTCCGGCAACACCACCACCGTTTACTACATAAACAAACAGGGCAGGACTGCCTCCCTTCATCTTTGCCAGTCAGCCATCGATCTCTGGCAATGGTGCATCCGCCATTCCATCATGCTCTCCGCGATCCACATTCTGTGCACCCAAAACATCGATGCCGATCGGTTGAGTTGCTCCCAGTTTTCGGACAATGAATGGTCCATCCACCTTCAATACTTGAAACCTGTCTTTCTCGAGTTCGGTCACCCTGTCGTCGACGGCTTTGCAACTGCAGACAATGCCCAGTGTCGCCTCTTGTTTAGCTGTGGTCCGCCATCTGCTCAGTCTCTGGGAGATGCCTTTCTCCACACCTGGAAGGGAACCCTATTCTACTTCTTCCCTCCATTCCTCTTGATCTCCCGGGTCATTCAGAAGATTGTGGCCGATGCCATGTTGTGCAATCTTGTCACTCCATGGTGGCCGCGCCAAGTCTGGTTTCCGCACCTCCTTCATCTCTCCAACCAGACATTCCAGCTGCTGCCTGTTGTCCCCAATCGCCTCTCTCGGGCTCAAGAAAGGATCCTCCACCCCGATCCGGGTTTCTTCCGATTAACTGCCTGGAAAATGCTGCACTAGACTTCCCATCTGAAGTTTCTGAAGTCCTCCTGAATGCCAGGAAACCCTCTACCCGTACCACTTACCATTTGAAGTGGAAGAGGTTCCAGTCGTATGCCTCTGATCCTTCCTTCGATCCCGTCCAGTCGTCTCTTTGTGAGATTTTTTCCTACATCGTCTCCTTAAAAAATAATGGCCTTGCATACTCGTCTTTAAAGGTCCATTTAGCGGCCATCTCCACCTACCATCCCTTGATACTGGGATCCACAGTCTTTTCTCACCGTCTTACAAAGTCATTCCTCAACGGTCTCCTCCAGCTCTGTCCCTCTAGGAAGCCTTTGGTGCCTTCGTGGAGTCTGTGACTCATTCTCACTCAACTTATATCCAAGCCGTTTGAGCCCATGGCTATGGTCGATCTCAGGTTGCTTTCCTGGAAGACGGCCTTCCTTATAGCGATTACGATGGCACACAGAGTAGGGGAACTAGCTGCTTTTTGAGCTGATCCCCCCTATACAATTTTTCATAAGGAGAAGGTTGTCCTTAGACCAGATCCTTCTTTCCTGCCTAAAGTCGTTTCTGCTTTTCACCTGTCCCAGTCATCTGTCTTACCTTCTTTCTTTCCGAATCCAACTGATGCACCTCAGAGAGCCCTCCACTGCCTCGATGTGCGCAGAGCGCTCTCTTTTTATTTACATAGGACTCAGCCTATACATAAATCTCCTTGGCTGTTCCTTGCCTATGGCCCCGCTCATGTCGGGGAGCCGATTTCCTCTCAACGCTTGTCTAAATGGGTGACTTCCACCATAGTCCTTTGCTATGAGCTTGCACGTCAACCCGTCTCTACCTGTGTCACTGCCCATTCTACACGGGCGGTATTGACATCCACCGCTTTCCTGGCTGGTGTTCTGTTGGAGGACATCTGTGCAGCTGCTACGTGGTCCTCGGCATCGACCTTCGTGACCCACTACGCACTCGACGGGATGCTGCATTCGGCCAGTCGGTGCTGTGATCTCTCTTTGCCTGCTGCGTCCCCAGGTAGGACCCGTGGGTGCTTTTTCTCACTGATGATGCTGTGTCTTAACCAGTATTCTTTGTGTCTTTTGCAGCGGCCAGCTCCCTCCCCCAACTGGTTCAGCTCTGGTAATCAACCATGTGTGGGACTGCACAGAGACCACAATGAAGATAAACAGGTTGCTTACCTGTAATTGATGATCTTTGAGTGGTCATCTGTGCAGTACCACAATCCCACCCAGCCTTCCCCACGGCTGGCATCTCCTGTTCACCATTCTCTGGCTTGATGGAACTTACTGGTAGCAGTCGAAGTAACTGAGTGGGAGGCGGCTCTCTCCCCCACTCCAGGCATGCACAGTATGTGCCTGCTCCCCAGGTCAGGAAGAGAGCCCGCCAAAAGCTTTCCAAGGCAAAGCTCTAGAAGTTTTTCCGGTCGAGGTCGTGCACAGGCGCCCAACCCAACCATGTGTGGTACTGCACAGATGACCACTCGAAGATCAGTTACAGGTAAGCAACCTGTTTTTTTCCAGTTTGTGTAATATCTGGGCTCTTCATGTTAGCCCCCACTCCCTCCAGCTGCTCCCACCCTCATTTACTTGGCTGCTGCTATTCTATTCTAGCAGGTGGGGCAGTGACAGCAGGTGTGAGAGGGCAGAAAGCATCTCTTTGGGCCAGTCACACAATGTCAGCCCAGCCTACCTCACCAGGTTGTTGTGAGCATAAAATGGAAGTAAGGAGAATGATATAAGCCACTTTAGATCCCCATTGGGAAGAAAGGCAGGGTATAAATGAAATCAATAAAATAAAACAGCGATCTACTCCCCCACCAATTGACAGCTTTACTGGCTACCACCACCACCACCACTAGTTGTCAAACAGCAATAGGCACAAGTTTGGGTGAGATGACAAAGGAAAGATGAAGGTTTTTTCTCTGTTTTGAATGTACAAGCCAAACCGTCAGAGAACTGTACTGCTCATCTTCCTGTTAAAGGTGGGCATGTATTTCAAGCCCAGTGAGTACAGTTTCTGTAGCACCTCCAACACAGATGCAACTGCATCATACATGCTTTTGTTGAAGGTGGATCTCGTCCTCTAAAAAAGAACTTTAAACATTGAAGGTGGTGATGAGGTATAGAGCTGAATTGCAGGAAAATAATGATTCGTGGCAAAATTACTCTGTTATCTTGAATTCAGTTAATGTGCGAAGGCAGATAACAGCAGGGTTAGCTTTTGTTGAAGGTGGATTTTGTCCTCTAAGGAAGAACTTTAAACACTGAAGGTGGTGATGACGTATAGAGCTGAATTGCAGGAAAATAATGATTCGTGGCAAAATTTTGTGTGCTTTGAATTCATTTGCTGAATTATATGAGATGGCCTCCATCTCCATTTTAATTTTATTTGATGCATCAGGCGAATGCTTTTAAAATGACAGCATATGTGGTTTTTTCCCCGTCAGACAAAGAAACATTTTCTGGAACTAAAATAATACAAACAAGCAAACCAGTTTTTGCAAAGAGAAATTACCTTGCTCCAGCTGGGAACTCCTCTGCAAGTAGTCTTCAACATCAAGATACAGAAAGAAACTCTTCTCTGCAGAATTACCATGTAATCTTCTGATCCAATATTAGCAATTCTTAAAACATGCAAGAAGGAGAAGCAACATGCATGCTGTACTAGCATTTGCAAAACAAGAAGTCCTGCAGTTCTTCATTTCCTGTTCTTCCTCCCCCCCCCGCCCCAGGCCAGTCACTCCAGTCTATACCTGCATTCTTCTCCCTTATCTCTGTGGGTAATCTGATGTAACTATGTCCGCTCCAATATGTGGGTAGATTTACGGTGAGCTTTGTAATAAGTCTGCTACCATCTGACGACATTACATAAGAAGTGTATGAATGGGAGGTTGTCTTTCAGTTACAGGAGCATGCTAACTTCCCTCTTCTAATACAGTAGCATCTACTAAAAGCTAGTCAGTTTTGCTGCCTTTTGACATTTGTGCAGAAATGTGTATTTACTAGAAATAAGGCCCATTGTGGAAATAAATACAACGAGAGCTAGAAAGAGGCTGTGGGAGAGTGCTCTGGCTTTGGGCAAACAGTGTCAGTCTGCTTTTAAAACATGAACCTGGGACCTGCACACCACCAGAATACAGCAGGTTCCATATGCAACTGACATTCCAACTGCCTTGCGGGGGGGGGGGGAGTTTGAGGTGTGGAATGGAGTGAAGTCCCATCAGCTTCCATACGCAAAAGACCAGGTTGTCGCAGCAGTTGTGGTGTGGGCGGGACCCGGGCTTTGCCTTCTGATTGGTGGCGATATATGCTGAGGAGCAGTGCTATCAGCCATACACTAAGGGAGTGCATTTTAGAATTAGAACTTTGGCACCCACTATTCAATTATATATAAGGAGAGATTATATACCATATACTTTCAAGGCACCCTTACTTGGATCTAGGTAGCCCAGGGTCAGCCCCAGTCAATTTTTGGATTGGTGGCCACCAAGGAATACCAGAGTCTTTGGACAGAGTCAGGCAATGGCAAGTCACCTTTTAATGTCTCTTGCTTGAAAACCCTAAGTGGGTCACCATATGTCAGTTATGACTTGACAGCAAAAAAACCCAAAAACTTTCAGCACATTGACTGCCAGATCTCCTTCCTATTCACAATCATTAAGATGGAATCAATAAAAATAATAGTGTAACTTTATTGCACTTTATACCCCCCACACGCTTCCTTTTCTGTAGACAGCCCACAGCAGTTGTCTTCGGGCTATCCATCTGTCTCCTGATGAGGTCCGTGTTGATTTGGCGTTGTGCTGCCAAGACCATTCACAATGCTACTCTGTTTACACTTTTTTCCTATTCCACTTTTAGCACTAACGTTCATGATGAATTTTGGCCAGTTCGTGGTTTGCGAACTCAAGTTCGTGGCAGGTCAGCCAGCACAAACTTTCCACAAACTTTCAAGCAGTTCATGGCAGTTTGTGAATGGATACATTTCCAGACAGTCTCCACTCAATCTAAATGTTTACCAGCCTTCAAACCAATAGGGGGCAGAACTTGTAGAAGAGCATCCAGGGGGAGGGCACCTGCAAGTTTGGTGTCTCTAGCTTGCACAGGATCCGTTCGATACAATTCTGAACCTGCGCCTGTCATTTCCATAGAAAGCACTTTCCTGGGAGCACCTTGGGGGGGGGCGCGTAACTCAGACCCTCTAAACGCCAATTGTCACAAAATTTGGAGGGTTGGTAGAGGAGAGTTGCCTGGAGATCCCCTGTGAGTTTGGTGTCTCTAGCACACCGGGAGGGGGCATTCTGCTGCATCATGAACCTCACAAACCAATGACTAAAAGTTCGTGATGGTTTGTGGTTTGTGAACTGGGTATGCTATTGTCAGCTAAGGCTGCCATGGTTTGGAATGTGTGGTTTGCTCTCCTTGTCTCCCTCCTCCCATCCCCCTTTCCCCTTAACTACATGCTGTTATCTGTCTAGTGTCCTTGAAGCCTCTACTCTGCCTGCTCCTATTTTCCCGCTGGGAATGTAACCATTGCTTTTTGCTTGCGTCTTCAGGTGCTTGCCTATTGGCTTTATTATATCAGGGGATCATGTATGAAGGGGGTATATCTGAAGGTTTATATATTTATTAAATTTCTACCCTGCCCTCCCGCTGAAGCAGCTCAGGACGGCTTACAAGCATTCATTATCCCGCCATTCATTCATTATCCCATTTTTTCATTATTATCGCCATTTATTCATTATTCATTATCCCGCTATTCCTGACACAAGTATTCATGGTGTCCTGAGTTCTCGCTCTCAATAAACTGAAACTTCTGAAGGAACGTTGTTGAGTGTCTTGACTGGGAAGCCTGACAGCTATGAACCATAAACTGAACCACATTTTCCTGGTTTGTGCCCATCCCTATTTAGCACTGCCTATTTGCAACTGATTAAACTTGAATCTTTTCTGACAAAAATTGATTTTTTTTAATATATCCAGTAGTTTTTCTTTAAATTAAAAATATTGAATACAATTATTTGCTTAAAATTTTAGTATTTGAAAGTAATAAATAAACATCCTGTTACCAGAAGCAGAACTTTCCCTTCCTCCCTCTTTTCCCAGCAGTTTCATATGATCCCTGTAATGGGATACTACCAGAAGCTGGGGAACCTTCACAGAGAAGGAGCCATTTGGATTTGGGCTTGCAATGAGGAGAGGAATAGGGTGGGGTTGTCCTTCCTCACTCTTCTGTATGTGGGCACAGCCCAACATCTCCAGTATGTACTGTTGAATTTTTAAAAAATGGTAAACTGATCTTGAGCTCTTTATTTTTAGTTGTTCAAATAGTATGTTTTTTTTTCACCAGGTTTCTTCTCACTCTCCTTCCCGAAATAGTGGAAGGGAGCTTTATTTATTCAAACGAGTTCAGGAAGCAGAGGGAAAACTGGCTGTAGCCCATGATTTAATTCATCATCTAAAAGCTGCCTCTTTGCAAAAGGAGAAGGAAATGGAGGCAAAAATAATGGAAATGAAAATGCTACATGAAAGAGATTTTTTTCAGCTAAACCAAGAAAAGTATGTTCTTCAAACACAGGTAATATTCCTAGTTATACTTTTTCCTTATTCAGTAATAAAAAGAATCCAGTAAAAATGAGAGGCTATTTATTCTGTAATTTAAGTTCTGACAAAAAAATGTATATTTTATTTTTTCCACTAATGCCCCTCATAATAAGTGACCATATAGAAGACTGTTACCTTAATTATTGCATTTAAAAATATATATATATGATATTAGCCAGAGATAAAATGTCTGTTGTAACTAAACTGTCAGTAGTCTTTATGGAAGCAGTGCGGGGGGGGGGGGGGGGATTGGGGTAATATATGTTCCTTCCTGTATTCCTTGGATGAAGGGAAGCATACAGATGGGGTTCTTAAAGGTAACAGAACATCCTCATTAAATGCAAATAAACATTTGCTTAAGTCTTTTAGTTAGCAATTTATCTAGTAAGCAATTGTATATGTAAGGTGCACTTTAAATGTTTACATACATATTTTCTTAGCTAAATAGTAGAGAGGACCTGAACAAAGGAGTAAAGTGGACAGACCTTTGGGAAAGAATTCCTGACGGTGGAGAAATGTTGAAAGAAATCCAAAAAGAAGTCCAAAATCAAGAGACCCTTCTTCAGGGTTATCAGCAGGTAGGGACATTGGAATGTTCTGAGTACAGTAGGCAAGATTTTCAAAAGCATGTGATATAGTTAGACAATCACCTGTGAAGCTTAAAAAACAGTGTCAGATGGTTTAGTACTATGAGCTATTGGACCGACAGGGCAGTTTGAGCAGAAAGATCCTAATGACCACAATTGATAATTGATTGCCTCTCTTGTCCCAGCCCCACTACTGGTTGTAGGAAGGGCCTTTAGCAGTTTTTCACTGGTTGCTGCACACACACCCACACTATACCTCCCTCTCTCTTCTGCCTTGCTTTCCTACACAGCTACATTTTTATTATCAGTAGGTTGCAAGATCCAGGTTGGGAAATACCTGGAGATTTTGCTACTCTGAAATTGTAGTGTGTAGTTTGTAGTTTATAGTATAAAAGCAATAAAGTTTAAAAAAAATTAAAAAGATATTTTGGGGGTGGAGTCTGAGAGCAAGGTTTGGGGAGGGAAAGGACTAAATGGGATATAATGTCATAGAGTCCGCCTTCCAAAGTGGCCATTTTCTCCAGGTGAATTGCCTGGTGATCAGCTGTAATAGTGGGAGCTCCCCAGCCACCACCTGGAGGTTGGAAACCTTAATTATTGGTATATTTGAAACAATATTGTACAAAGACAAAGAGTATATTCTTATTACTCATTTATTACCCCAAATCCTTAGGCTCTTGTATCACAGAAGATAAGGAATTGCACCCAATTGTATTATGGACAGGGCTGCCGAAACTAAAGAGTCTATGTGGCTCTGAGTAAACAGGTGAAGGAATTGAGAGCACAGGTTGTATTCTTGTCAGTTCTTCCTTTCAAAGGCCATGGCTTAGGAAGGGAAAGAAGAATATTGCAGATCTGTGATTGGCTACGTAGATGGTGTCATCAGGAAAGGTTTGGATGGGGGGCGTGGCGTCACGCTGAAAGCGTATGAACACCTAGAACTTCGGCTCCTGGTGAGTGTGGTGGCGGACCTGGAACACCTCATCATCATCCGATATGTTGGAGGTCGGGAACATGGAAGCCTGATGTATGCCTTGGCCCGGCCAATCCTGCTGGGATTTGGCGAATGCGGTGGCCACACGGAGGGCTTTTACCAAGTTGAGCTAGTCATGGCCGATGAGCTTCTGGCAGAGCTTAGGCTCTCAGACACTCCATACGAATTGGTTTAGGAGGGCGTCCTCAAGGTCAGGAAAACCGCAATTGATGGCTAGCCTCCGTAGTTGGGCCATGAAGTCGGTGTGTGCTTCGCTGGGCTGTTGCGTTTGTGCAAAGAAGTCCATGCGCACCACCATTTTGGTGGGTTGAGGCACGAAGTGATCCATGAGGGCCTTGATGAGCTGCTCATATGTTGATCCTTCAGAGACTTGGGTGCGATGAGGCCCTGGACCAGATGCAGTGTGGAGATGCCACATGTGCTTAGCAGGAGTGATTTCTTCTTTTCTGCTTCCCCAATCTCCTGCAAATGGATGAAATACTTCAGTTTTTCGACCCACACTTCCCAGAGCTCGGGATGAGCCCGGTCGAAAGCAGCAATCTGTCCCGGAGCGACAGCCATGACCCAAGGAGGAGCGGTGCATGGTGCAGTGAGCCAGGGCTTGGTGCACAGTGCAGTGCTGGTCGTGGAGTCCAGGGACTCGTGTTGCGGTGCCAGTTTGGCTGCTGGGTCAGGCTCGCTCATCAGGATCCCACTAAAAATCCAGACATTAACTCCAATCTCTGGTCAGACCATTCCTGGGTGGAGTGTAATCTGATTTTATTAAATTCACACCAATCAAATCATTTTTGGTCTTTAAATAAAACTTTATTAGTAAATGCCTCTACTTTTACAAGCATCAAAACTGATTTGCGTGAATATTTCCAATTCAACAACCAAACTGACACTTCTCCATTAATTCGATGGGAAGCCATGAAAGCGGTTCTTCGTGGTAAATGTATCTCATTACACGCTGCCTACAAAAAACAGATTCCCTGATCAGTCAATTAAATTTAAAAATTAATACCTTGGAATCCAGACATAAAAAATATGGTAGTAAAAAGGTTTATAAAAGACTTTTAGCAGCTAGAAAAGAATTAGAATCCCTAGAAACCACAAAAATTCTCAAAAATTTACTCTATCTTAAACAAAATTATTGGCATATGAATTCCAAACATATAAGACTATTATCATGGAAGGTTAGACAAAAAATAGCGGAAAGACATATAAATTGTATAAGAGATTCTAAAGGCTTATTAATTTATGATACCCAAAAAATAATTAAATCATTCTTAGATTACTATACAAATTTATATACTTCTAAAAATCCTCCCCTTAACATAGAAGAATTTTTTAAATCGGGGCAATGTTATCTCCCTATTTCTAAAGCTCACAGTTCCATAATGGAAAAAATTATTACACCACAAGAAATCACGGATGTAAACAAATCTCTTAAAAACAATAAAACACCAGGCAGGGATGGATTCCCACCTGAATTTTATAAAAAAATTGCTCATCTTCTAGCATCCCCTCTAGCTGACGTCTGTAATTTTATCCTAGACAATGGCAAAATGCCTGATACCTGGTCAGATTCAAACATCATTGTCTTACCCAAAAAAGATAAAGACCTTACTAACCCATCCTCCTATCGGCCCATAGCCTTGTTAAATCAAGACAACAAAATATTTACAGCTGTTTTAGCTGCCAGGCTTAATTCCTTTATTGCAGAATATATACACTCAGATCAGGCTGGTTTCATTTTAGGCAGAGATATGGCAAATAATGTCCGCAAATCCTTAGAAATAATAAATTATTCCAAAATTTTTCAAAAAGATGCTTTGATTTTATCGTTGGATATTGAAAAAGCCTTCGATAGTGTCGAAATAATTTACCTTAAATCTCTTTTGACACATATGGGCTTTGAACGTAAGTTTTTAACTCTATATGCAACCCCCAAAGCGCAACTTAAAATAAATGGCACTACATCTGATTATTTTAACCTATATAGAGGAACCCGCCAAGGCTGTCCACTATCCCCTATTTTGTTTGCTATAGCGATAGAACCTTTAGCAAACATCATTAGACATAATAATAACATTACAGGTCTTTCAAATCAATCAAAATGATTTTAAATTATGCTTATTTGCAGACGACATTGTCATGTATATTACAAACCCAGAAACATCTTTGCCAGAGTTGGAAAACGTGTTACAAAATTTTGGACAAGTTTCTGACCTCCGGGTTAATCAACAAAAGAGTAATTTATATCCTATTAACTTGTCCAAATACCTTAAACAAAACTTTGTTTATCGCTGGATTAATAAATATTGGGTCAATCTAGGCATAAAAATTCCACTTAACCTTGCTGATTTATTATCTGTTAATTACCTGGCATTAATCGCCTTATTGACTACATTAATGAAAGATTGGCATAATCTAACCTTATCTTGGTTAGACAGAATTTCTTTATTTAAAACAATACTTTTCCCAAAACTGTTGTTTCTTTTTAGAACTCTGCCACTAAAAATACCTTATAGAACTTTACATTCTTGGCAATCAAAGTTTTTGGAGTTTATCTGGGGTTATAAAAAACCCAGAATTAGTTATAAAATTCTTTGTAAATCTTTAAAATTTGGGGGTCTAAATGTCCCAAACATTTTTAAATATTATAATGCAGCTCACCTTTGTTTTGTTATTTCAATGATGAAACCAGCTACACCAAATAGTTGGAACATTATAGCACAAACATATACTCAAAACAACTACTTACATGAAACAATATGGAATTTACGTTCTGAAAGATCCCATTTAATTAAATCTAATCCCTTTTTATCAAGCAATTTAATGGTCTGGGACTCACATAGGAAACGTTTAGTATCATCTCCCTCTATTATGTCTCCCTTTTTGGGACAAAGCTGGTTTAAGCCAGGATCCCACATATTTGAGTTTAAAATATGGCGTCAGAACAACTTGATTCAATTTGTGGATATTCTGAAAAAAGGTAAACTATTGGACAAATCCACTTTGGATGCAACTATATCACAAAATCTGCCTTGTTATCAATACTTACAGGTTAAACATTTGATAGCCAGCAAGTTAATATGTGGATCCCTATCTAATCCTTTAACTAAATTTGAGATATTACTTAAAGCTTCTTTTGATATTTCCAAAGGGTTACTATCCAAAATTTACACTATATTACAAGGACAAATCAAACCCCAAATATTTCCATACCAAAAGGCTTGGAATACAGACTGCAATCTTCAATTGTCTGAATCTCAGTGGTCAGATATTTGGTTATCAAACATTTATTCTACAAACATTATAAACATTAAACAACTATCTTTTAAGTTATTAACAAGATGGTATTTAACCCTAGTAAAGTTGAATCATGTACATCCAAACGTACAACCTTTATGTTGGAAGCAGTGCTCTCAAAAAGGTACTTACACGTTTGGTGGGACTGCCCACTAATACAAGATTTTTGGATCAAAATTATATATCAAATCAAACTTATTACTGCATATGAGGTCTTGTTGAATTTTTGGCATGATAAAAAATATCTCACAAAATAAAAGAGACTTGATAGCTATCCTCTTAGTGGCAGCCAAATTAGTACTGGCTTCAAAATGGAAAGATAAACAAATTCCTTCGGTTTCACAATGGGTAAACAAGCTTTGGGACTTTTTTGTTATGGCTAAAATTTCAGATCAAATTCGAGTTGCAGAATCTGCTTATTATATCTCAAAGTTTGCTGAAACCTGTTTTCCTGTTCTAACATATCTTAATACGATAGCAAAAGAGCCAAATAATAGTATATATAAAAATTGGCTCACTTCTAAACTGTTCTCTCTCTGAGGCGGAGGACATCTCCATGGGTTATTCCCATCGTTCCTATAGGGAGGCAGGAAATACTTTTTTCTCCTTCCTGTTGGCGCCCTGGGAATAGCCCTGCCCCTCAGTTCTATTCCTGCCTCTTAGGGAGTAGCAGCCTAGGGACAAAGCTCTGTGTTTTTTG